ATTCCCAGCTTTCCAAGAAATCTCCATACTGCTTTCCAAATTGGCCGCACCAATTTGCAGTCCCACCAGCAATGTACAAGTGTACCCTTTTCCCCACATCCTCGCCAGCACTTGTTGTTGTTTGACTTCCTAATGGCTGCCAATCTTACTGGAGTGAGATGGTATCTTAGGGTGGTTTTGATTTGCATTTCTCTGACTGCTAGAGATGGTGAGCATTTTTTCATGTACTTGTTGGTTGATTGTATGTCCTCCTCTGAGAATTTTCAGGTCCTTGGCCCATTTGTTGATTGGGTTATTTGTTATCTTATTGTCTAATTTTTTGAGTTCTTTGTATACTCTGGATATTAGGGCTCTATCTGAAGTGTGAGGAGTAAAGATTTGTTCCCAGGATGTAAGCTCCCTATTTACCTCTCTTACGAAATGTGATATAATTTGGGCACTGAAAGAAGCCACAGAAGCCAAAGAAGTAGTTGTGGAAACACCATGGATGAAGACTGAACAACAGCATGCCTTTTTTTTTTTTTTTTTTACAAACCATCTAAGTCAATATTAAACACCTTAAAGATTCTTTAAATAAAAAATAAATCAGTGGAATAGTTTTCTTCCTTTTCTGCCTCTAATTCACACGGGTTTAGTCCTGTAATTATTTCAGACCATTTTATTTTACTCACTGCTATTCCCATATATTTTTAAGGGATGTCATTCAATTTTTCCAGTCTACTGCCCTGGATTAACTTTCCTTTTACTTCTTCTCCTTTCTTCTCTCTTATTTTCTTTCACTCTATTCCCAGAATAAGTCTTTCCAACCATCTTGTTCAGCCAGTTTATGGTTTTGGTATCCTGAGTTCATTTTCTGTACATTTCTTAAATATCTCAATTCTGATTTCTTTTCTTTTTTAAAAAAAATTATGTGGTAATATATTAGCAGAAGTATCAATACATTTCTTTGTTTAATGAACTCTTTAATTACCATCCATTTTTATGATAATGCATAATCAGAGACAGATTTCATATACAGCCTGGTGAATTGAAATGAATAAATTCTTATGAGGTTTCATATCTTGTAGCCAAAGCACTGCATTACAACAGAAGGTCAAAGTCAGAGTATGTTGCAAATCATCGGTGATATATGCAAAACTAGCTGAAGTTTCTGAGTTCACTAGAGTAAATCCAGGGTAAGGGTTATGAAAATAATAATGCATCACTGTCAGAAGGATCATGTTGGAGTTAAAAGGCCACGGTTTTTATGCCAAACCCTAAGGCCAAAATATGCTTCTCACCAAAGTTTTCACCTGCTGTAAGAGCAGATGTGGTTCCAGTAGCACTCCTTAACCCCAGACCACTTTGTTTGGTAGAATCTAAGTTGTTCCCACTGGGACTTCTTATTCTGTGTATATGCAAGAATTGTAAGGCCTTCAGGTCAAACTGTAGAAAGATGTATCAGAAGAGGCCAGAATCTTTAGAATAATAAAATTTGATGTTGAACTAGTGAATGTATCAAGATTAATAAACGTTGGCAATGCCTAAAATGTATGTAAATATGCTTTATATGTTTTTACTTTGAGATAACTTTTAGATCTTTGTTAAACTAAAATATTGTTATTAAACTATATATATGTTAATTCCTTTTATAAACAGAACAATTTTTAAAGTCACAGTTAAAATAGTGATTCTACCACCTCAGGGTTAAATAATGATGGATTTCCCAAAGCATTATCCATGATATAAAATAATATCTACCCACACATTCATATGCACCCCACATTTTTAAAAATGCTTTGAAGCAGTGGATAATATCGACCAAATAAATTTGATAGAAGCAAATTTCTTTGGTCATTATGCAGAATCTGTCTAGTATGATTTTAAAGTAAATGTCTTTGCTAACTTTCCTTTTATAGGTTTTAATTTCTGAAGCTTTTCATAAAACAGACAGGGTTTTTACTTTGGATCTATGTATATTCACCAGCCCAATCCCATACAAGATTTACTACTTTCTGTTTGACAAAATTATGTTGCTAGAATTGAGCTTTCCTTACAAGTTGTTGTAGTATGCGAGTTTAGAATTTGTTTCTAATTTGTTTTTAATTTTTGTGCTTTAAGAAAAAACTACTCCATTTAGATATTTCTAACAAATAATAATATTTAATAGGAAGATGCTATGTTTTATTGCTTTTAGTAATAGCTACCTCTCATTATGCTATTAGTAATTTTCCTGCTACTCTTAATTTGGTGGCAGCTTTTAGCCTTAATAAAAAATTGTTTTCAATAGTTCTTGAGTTATGTTAGCTTAATTATTAATTTCTTCCATTTAATTTTATACAACTCATGAATGATTTGCCAAGTTGTATAATAGAATGAGCCAGGCACTGTGATGCTGCCTGTAATTCCTGCAACACAGGAAGCTGAAGCAGGAGGATCACAAAAGTTCAAGACTAGCCTCAGCAACTTAGGGAGACTCCATCCCAAAATAAAAAATAAAAAATATTAAGGGGTAGGGATGAAGCTTAGTGGTGGAGCATCCCCATTCTAAAAAAAAAAAAAAAATCAAAATATGATTCATTTGTTTTATTCAATGCAAAGATATAACAAGAATCCAAAAGATAATTTTCAGTGCACATTGAACTTTTTGCTTGTATGTGTGTTGTGAGGTAGTCTCCCTGGTTTTATAATAAAAACCTGAAAAATCTGACATTCAGTAATCAGTAAATACTATTTAGCGGCTGGGTACTGAACTATTTGAGCACTTTATATGATCCTGTCACTCATTTCATGATTTCTGTGTACACCTCATAAAATCCAGACTCTAAATCCACTCTGTGTGGCCTGTACTCTTAATCTTCAGCTGTGCAGCCACCTCAATTCTCTTTTTTTACTATGCTTCTTTCCACAATGGCCTCTCCTGTCCCATAAGCATACCTTGTTCTTCTATAGGCCTTTACTGTCCCTTCAACCATGGATGTTCTTCCTTAGGTCTGGTGTCCCCTCCTTCACTGACTCTAGCAGATAAACAGCTGCCCAGAGTCCCATCCTATTGCACACACTGTGTAACACTTTTTTTATTTTTTTTTCCCTATCTGTCCTGAACCAAGAGAGCAGGAAACTGGATTATATTGTTTTCCTCTGTATCCAAGTGTACAGCATAGGGTCGGGATTACTCTGGCTGCTCAATAAGTTTAATTAAATAAATGGGTGATTCTTATTTCTCAAAATAACTTTATAAGGCAGGTTGTTTTTTAATACACATGAAAAAATGTTGCCTGCAATGAACTAAGCTAATTAAGTAAGCCTCTGGAGTTTGGCCTTCCTCTGGGTGTGAAGGAGTGGTATATTCTCTACCATTATCTTTTGATCAGTGGAGATATTTACATGATTATCCGTAAGGTCATTAGCTAATCATTTTGAAAGCAGTACGGATGAGCCATATTTATTAAATCACAGTAGTACATATAAAAGAGCTTGTTCTAAAAAATGAAAGCTTTTTTTAAAAAATGAAGAAGCTACTCTATTATCCTTTTTATATTTAAAATCATGATAAATTTGATTCATTCAATGCAAAGATATAACAAGAATCCAAAAAATAATTTTCAGTGCACATTGAAATTTTTCTTGGATGTTGTTGTGAGGGAGTCTCCCTGGTTTTGTAATAAAAACAAAAATCAGACATTCAGTAATCAGTAAACAGTATTTAGGAGCTGGGTACTAAGCTCCTATTATTATTAACTTCCTCCTTCTTTAAAACTCACTTGAAATTATGGAGAAAAAACTTCCCTGAAATAACCAGGAAGACACTGCCTCCCTGAAATGGACTCAATGTGTTAGAGATTCCTTTGTAAAATGAAAAAGGCAAAAAAAAAATGATTGAATAAAAGTGCTTATCTTTTATTCACTATTTTAAGATCAAAATTAATATTATACAGAGATTTTTTTGTATCTTATTCTCAAATCATTATACATGATTTCATGTGTTTTTTCTTTAATTAGCTAAAGTAAATCAAAATACATCTTGTTAGTTACCTGTTATTATATATTTCTAGATGAAGCTACCTTAGTCTTTCTCATGGAAATGATAAACAAGTGGGGAAAAAAAAGCCACTAAAACCTCATTCCACCTGCCGATATTTATTAACACACTTTAATTCTTAGTGTCTAGTATAACTCTATCAATCTTGCACACACTCATTGCACACAATAATTATTTGTATGAAAACTCTAAATTTTATATAAACTTTTATAACTACTGAGAGTAAAGTGTGAAGTAGAAAAAATTTAATCACTCTGCACATACAAGAAATTAATAGTGTATTAATCATGATCTCTGTGGTGGAAGGTCAGCAAGTTCAATAGAATTTAGATGGGTATTTTTCATTTCTACTTTATTTTGCACTTGGGAAACAGGATGTGCAAGAAGTTTTTGCAGTTTTGACAAAGATAAAGAGGTACTCAGACAGAGGCTTTTGGCTGAACTTAGGGTATAAAATGAATTAGGATCAGCTATTTATTTAAAAGGTAGGGATATGCATGGCCTAAATTACAAGATGAGGTGATTCCTATATATAATTTGAGACATTAAACTAAAAATGGCAAAAACAATGCCTTCAGAACCTAAATCATGGGCTACAAAAGTTCTTGAAAAGTACAAAATGTAGTTGTTTAGTTTCCCATGGGAAAAAAAATCTTTTAGTTGACCGGATTTTTTCTGGGTATTTTAGCAATATAAATAATGCAAAGAGAGTAGCAACAGCCTTCTTCTATGAGCTGTTACATCTGCAGGAAAGCCCATAACTGATGAGTTGATGAGCCGAGAAATACCCAAGACTGCATGAACTGGTAGTTTTGTTGTTTCTGCGGGTGACTAAAGGAATTAAGGAATATTATTTTGTAAAATCAGAAAGAAAATGTAACATAGTTTTTAGGTTTTATATTTAAACACTTACAATTTATTAGTTTGACATCCCCTTTTCTGATTTTTGTATTGAAGGTATGTGTTTGTGTGTTTTCAGATAACCACAAGGACTGTTCTGGCGTGTCTTTACACCTCACACGTCTGCCGTAAGTCCCTCCTGCTTTCTTTCTTTCTTTTTTTTTTTTCATATTTATTCTATTTTGTTGTGGTGGTTCTAATTAGTTATACATGACAGTAGAATGTTTTTGACACATCATACATAAATGGAGTATAACTTCTTCATTCTTCTGGTTATACATAATGTGGAATTGTACCAGCCCTGTAATCGTATATGCACATAGGGTAATAATGTCCCATTCATTCTGCTATCCTTCTTACCTCTATGCCCCTCTCCTCCTTTTACTCCCCTCTGTCTAATTCAAAGTACCTTTATTCTTCCCTAGCCACCTGCCCCCACTTTATTGTGAATTAACATTCATATATTAGAGAAAACACTCAGCTTCTGGTTTTTTGAGATTGGCTTATTTCATGTAGCATAACATCCTCCAGCTCCATCAATTTACCTATAAATGTCATGATTTCATTTTTCATTAATGCTGAGTCAACATTCCATTGTGAATATTTACCCCATTGTCTTTATCCATTCGTCTGTTGAAGGGCACCTAGGTTGGTTCCATAGTTTAGCTATTGTGCATTGAGCTGCTATAAAATATTGATGTGGCTGTACTATGCTGATTTTAAGTCTTTGGGGTATAAACCAAAAGCTGGATCAAATAGTGATTCCATTCCAAGTCTTCTGAGGAATCTCCATACTGCTTTCCAGATTGGCTGCACCAATTTGCAGTCCCACCAGCAGTGTATGAGTGTGCCTTTTTCCCCACATCCTCACTAACACTTTTTGTTGTTTGTATTCTTGATAGCTGCCATTTTAACTGGAATGAGATGAAATCTTAAGAGTAGTTTTGAATTGCATTTCTCTCATTGCTTGAGACATTGAACTTTTTTTCATATATTTGTTGATTGATGGGATTTCTTCTGTGAAGTGTCTGTTCAATTCTTTAACCCATTTATTGATTGGGTTTTTATTGTTGTTGTTTGAGTTCTTTATAATATTCCATTGATTAATGCTCTATCTAAGGTGAATGTGGTAAAGATTTTCTCCCATTCTGAATGCTCTCTCTTCACATTCTTGATTGTTTCCTTTGCTGTGAAGAAGCTTTTTAGTTTGAATCCATCCCATTAATTGATTCTTGATTTTAATTCTATTGCTTTAGGAGTCTTGTTAAGGATGTCAGTTCCTAAGCGGACATGGTGAAGATTTGAGTCGACGTTTTCTTCTATTTGGTAGAGGATCTCTGTTTTAATGTCTGTCTTTGATCCACTTTGAGTTGAGTTTTGTGCAGGGTGAGAAATAGGGGTTTAATTTCATTTTGCTACATGTGAATTTCCAGTTTTCCCAGCAAGATTTGTTGAAGAGGCTATCTTTCCTCCAATGTATGTTTTTGGCACCTTTGTCTAGTATGAGATAACTGTATTTATATTAATTTATTGCTGTGTCTTCTGTTCTGTACCATTGATCTACGTGTCTTTGTTGGTGCCAAAACCATGTGATTTTTGTTACTATGGCTTTGTAATATAATTTAAGGTCTGGTATTGTGATGCTTCCTACCTCACTTTTCTTGCTAAGGATTGCTTTGGTTATTCTGGGTATCTTCTTTTTCCAAATGAATTTCATGATTCTTTTTCTATTTCTATAAAGAATGCCATTGGGTTTTTAATGGGGCTTGCCTTAAATCTGTATGATGCTTTTGGTAGTATGGCCATTTTGACAATGTTAATTCTGCCTATCCAAGAGCATGGGAGATTTTTCCATCTTCTAAGGTCTTCTTCTATTTCTTTCTTTAGTGTTCTGTAGTTTTCATTGTAGAGGTCTTTCACCTCTCTTATTAGGTTGATTCCCACATATTTTATTTATTGATTTTTTGAGGCTATTGTGAAGCGGGTAATTTCTCTTTTGGTGGATTCATCTTTGATATATAGGAACACATTTGATTTATGGGTGTTAATTTTATATCCTGCTTCTTTGCTGCATTCGTTTATTAATTCTAGAAGTTTTCTGGTGAAATGTTTTGGATCTTGTAAGTAGAATCATGCTGTCAGAAAATAGTGATAGTTTTGAGTTCTTCTTTCCCTATTTGTATCCCATTGATTTCTTTCTTCTCTCTAATTGCTCTGGGTAGAGTTTTAAGAACAGTGTTGAATAAAAGTGATAAAAGAGAGCATCCTTTTCTTGTTCCATTTCTTACAGGGAATGATTTTAATTTTTCTCCATTTAGAATGATGTTGGCCTTTGGTTTATCATAGATAGCTTTTATAATGTTGAGGTATGTTCTTACTCTCTCCCTAGTATTTCTATTGTTTTGAGCAGAAAATGATTTTTCTGCATCTGTTGAGATTATCATATGATTCTTGTCTTTAAATCTATTGACATGATGAATTGTGTTTATTGATTTCTGTGTGTTGAGCCAACTTTTCACCCTCACTTGATCATGGTACACAATCTTTTTAATATGTTTTTCTATGCTATTTGCCAGAATTTTATTGTGAATTTTTGCATCTATGTTCATGAAGAATATTAGTCTGAAGTTTTCTTTCCTTGATGTGTCTTTGTCTGGTTTTGGTATCACAGTGATACAAGTTTCATAGAATGAAGTTGGAAGGGTTCCCTACTTTTCTATTTTATGGAATAATTAGGGGAGTATTGGTGTTAAGTCTTCTTTGCAGGTCGTGGTAGACTTTTTAAATTTTTTTCCTATTATTATTATTATTATTATTATTATTGCATTACAATTATTAATATACCTTTATACCACAATTTATCACATCTCTGATTGTATATAAGGTATGTTGACACCAGATTCATATCTTCATACATGTATTTTGATAATGATGAGAGTCTCCTTCCACCATCCATGCTATTCCTTGGTAGGCTTTTGATGGTGTCTTCTATTTCACTGTTTGAAATTGATGGGTTTTCTTAAATGAGCAACAACATTAAGATCTTTGCAAACTATTGTGGAAGGCAAATTAACTCAGACTTACTGTTTTAAAGTCATGAATATGAATTATCTCAGCATCCTATGAGTCAGGAACATAGGCACAACGTAGAAGGCTCCTCTGGCTGGTGTTGTCCAAAGGGGCTGCAAGCAGAGTCTCTGCTGGGGATTCAGTCATTTCAAGGCTAGACCCGGGACAGCCACTTCCAAGATAACTCACATGGTTGCTGACAGGATTTATTGCTTTGCTGGGTGTTGGCCAAAGGTCTCCCTCATTTTTTTTTCCCCATAAGTGCTATAAACAGTGCAGCTTACAATACAACAACTGGCTTCCATCACAGAATGTAAGTTAAAAAGCAAGCAAGGGATTATGTGAAAGATGAAATCCAGAGGTTTTTTGTAACTTAATCTTAAGAGGTGACATATCATCATTCTTGCCATATTCTATTTGTTAGAAATATGTTAGTACCCTTACTTGTGCTCACCCTCAAGGTGAGGGAAGGAATTAGACAAGGCATGCTCATCACAGCTAGGAATCATGACAGCTTGATTAGTCAGGGTTTTCCAAAGAAACCCGAATTAGTAGATGGATAGTGAGGAAGAAAAAATAATTTTAAGGGATTGGCTCATGCTTTTGTATGGACCTACAAATCCAAAATCTGTAGGGCCAACAGGAAATTTAGGGAAAGGTAGAGGTTGTTGCCTTCTTGGGTCCAAAGACAGTGTGTAGACAGAATTTCTTACTTTTCAGGGGACCCGAGTCTTTTTTCTTAAAGCCTTTAACTGATTGTATGAGACCTGCTCAAATTATGGAAAATAAACTACCTTACATGAAGTCTAATTTAAATGTTAATCATATCTAAAAACACAGTAATCCTTCCAAGAAATATCTAAGCTAATGTTTGACCCGTCAGCCAGATACCATAATTTAACAAAGTTGACACATAAAATTAGTTATAACTGAGACTAGTTAGAATCTACCTTTTATTGTCTACCTTTTCTAATTTGTTTCATTTTTATTTTCACAAAAATAACATTCTATAAACTAATGTATTGAGATATACATATTTATCCAGTGAAATAGTTTTGGCATTATCTCATTATTGAGAAAAATATTACTTTTTTTCCTGCAGACAGCCTTTAATTGCTGGCATGTACCTTATGATGTCTGTTGACACTGTTATACCACCAGGAGAGAAAGGTGAGGAATGATCTCTTTGTATTTCTATTACCTCATTGAGTAATCTATAAGAATGGACTTACAGTTTATTTTTTATCAACTTTATAAAAAATGACCAATATTTGTATCTAAAAAATAAGCTAATTCTTTATTGTCATTATGTTTAAAGTGATTTGGTATTGTTATAAGCCAATTATTTGTTATATTTTCAATATTTATTTTTGAAATGCTAAGAATTGAGACTCATGGGCAGGTAGCGGTGTATAAATTAAAGAATAAATCCTGAGTATTTTATAAATCAGTCACCTGTTTTTGAGATGCAAAAGATGAAGTGCATAATGTGCAACAATGTAAACTACTTCATGGGAAGGCGAAAAATCAACAGGCTTCAAATTCAACACCAGCTCAGTCTTTGAACTTGTATATATATATTAATTTCCCTACTTGCAAAATGAGATAATAGCTGTTTCACCTAAACTGGCAAAAAGCCATGAGAATAATTGTTATTTATCAGTATATCTAAAGACTCTCTAACAAAAGTGTCATGTTAAATATTGTTTGTTATTATTGGTAATTTCAAAGTTAATATTCAGTAGGGCACTTTGTTTTGTCCACTGATCTATTACCAAAAGAAACTTATTGCATTGCTAGTATGTATTACACTGTAAGGAAGATAAAGTATATGAAGACAGCCCCTTATCAACAGGAACTGTTCAGCCTGATGATTTTAGTATTTGCATTCAATCTTTCAAAAATCTATTATTCCAAAAATAAAAGCCATTTTTTAAGCTTTTCAACTGGATAGATTCAAGATAAAGATAACAAATTAATTAAGCCTGTTTTGTGACAGGGTATTATAATATCTGAAGTAGGAAGGTTTTAATCTGTCTTGGTGAAATGGACGGCACAGGATGAGCACTTACTATCTGCTGGGTTTGAGTGCATGTGACTAGCTCACTTTTAGAAAAGAAGAATGTCATTTTCCAGTTGAATAGTGACTTTTGTCTGTGTTTTTCTTTCTCACAGTGGTGAATTCTGATATTTCATGCCATTATAAAACGTACCCAATGCATGTTTTTGCCTACAGAGTTCACACTCACCATTTAGGTAAGAACCTTAAGCTACATGTTAAATTTATAAGTATTTACCATTGTGCTTGCTAGTGCTGTAAATGTAAAATGTTGATTGTACTTGACCTTAAGTCTGTTTCAAAGAAATTTCAGCCAATAACTTGAATTTTTTATGCTGTTTCATCATGTTATTTTCATGAAGATACTCATTACTTAGGGTTCTGAAAAGATTCAGGTTTTATTTTAAAAAGAAAAATAAATGTGGTTTTGCTTTTCTGTGTTGTTATTTCATATGGTTATAATTTATGTTTATTTTTAAGGTAAGGTAGTAAGTGGATACAGAGTAAGAAACGGACAATGGACATTAATTGGACGCCAGAGCCCCCAGCTGCCACAGGTATGTAGGATCCAATAATTTGGGTAGGAAAAATACTAACCAACATAAAGTAATTTTTAAAAATTCTTATGTAATACCTTGTTCATTTCTTTAGCATCTAACAGTCTCCATATTTTCCTTTTCTGTAAATCTGAGCTACATAACCTCCTGTTTTACAACTTCCAATTTGATGTTTTCCTTACCAGTTCTCCCAACATGATCTGAACATGTTAGTGAAGTCCTTTCTATCCTATCATTTAGTCATAAGTGTTTCAGATAGCCCTTCTGTTATTGTACGTATTGTGTTTTATGGAATGCTTTTGTAAATATGCTTTCAAAGTTGTAAAGTGGAATTGATTAATTAGAGATAAACTCTTCTATCTAGCGAGTATCTGTGTATGTGTCTATCTCTTTGTCCTCTCTATACGCAGTGCTCCAAGCCTCACATATTTTAAGCATATGGTTCTGGGTTTTATTGGTAATTTCAATGGATCACTGTGTTTGTCTTCCGGGCAGGCTTTTTACCCTGTGGAACACCCAGTGGATGTTAGTTTTGGTGACATACTAGCAGCAAGATGTGTATTCACTGGTGAGGGCAGGACAGAAGCCACACACATTGGGTAAGATTCTGTACTTTCCATTATTTCAAGAGACTTTTTTTAACACAAGGCATGATCATAGGTGACAGTTATTATTGTGAGTGGATTATGTACATTTTTTTTGTCCTGTCATGGACAATTAGAACAAACTAGTATTTTATCATTAAAATTGATGAATTTGGATAACCCCCAGAACATGCCTATTTTTATGTGCTTTTATTATTTCTGCTTCATTAAGCTCCTCAACCTCATGCCTCTCCATTATATAGTTAGAAAACCATATATTACTTCTTCAGACACATAAAAATGAAGAAAATATCATGATTATGAAAGGTTTTCTTTTAGGAAAATAAGTTTTCTATTTAGTCATAATCATAAAATACTCAGAAACATGTTTTCTTCTGCCTGTTAAAATTTCTGAATATTCTATAAGTTCCAGTTTTTTAGGATAATAATATGCAGCACTTCCAAAAGGGGGAGATCAAATAATTTTCAAAATGCAATTCTCAAATGCCAAGCTTCCTTGAAATAATTACGTTTTATAACACTAAGTAAAATTTTCAAAGCACTGTGAACTCTTTCAAAAAAGATAAATAGATAAAAGATTAAAAAATGAAAGAGAAAGTTTCTTATTATGCTTTTTGTTGGAAAAGCATCAATGAATCTCCTCTCTGTGTTACACTCTGTTTTGAGGTATTTACTGAGACCACTGGGAAGTGGAGTTTTAAACCATTTATCTCTTGATCAGAGAGAAGTTACAGACAGTAGGGATCTGAAAATTTGGATTAAATGCACTGAAGATGATTCTTACAACAGCACTAACTGGTGGTTGTAAGGGAAAACGGAAAAGTTGCTGATGCAGGTTGAAAAGGGGACATTTAATGAAAGGATGAAAAGAATTTTATGTCACTACAAAAGATTTTTATTTTAATAAGCACCAATTTTAAAGCAAAATATAGAACAAAGAGAAAAACATTCTCAATTTATATTAAACAAGATGTTTTCCAACAGCTTTGCTTTTGGATAAATTTGATAAATTTGGAAAGAGACTTGAAGAAAGCAATGTAATTATTAGGTTCCAGAAAAGGTGAGTGTAAGGAAAGGGTTGACAAAGTAGACATAATGAGATTTGAAAGGTGGAATCTGAGAGTTCACTTCTTGGCAGTGTTTAAATTCCTGAGGTAAAATGATATGGAGGGTATTGATCAGCTTTCTCTATTTTATGTTAGTGTAAATCCACAGACATCTTACCTAAATGCCATTGGTTATTTTATTCACCTTTGAAATAAGTAAGTGAAGTAGTAAAGAAATCTCCTTCAAAACATTATGTGTATTAGTTTATAAGTGTGCAAAAAAGTAGATTTTTTTGTTTGTTTGGCCAAAGGCAAAAATTACAATTTTAGGAAGCTTATCATCTTGGCCAGATTCGATTTTTTGCATTTTCTCTTCGAGGTAATATCAGCCAGAGAAATTAATGACTTGTTATAATACCAGGATGGGAGGCCAAAGTGATCTCTAGAGGGCTCTTTCATTTTGATGAGTCTAGAATAATTCTAGTCTTCTTTAAAATGTGAGTTTGTATTAGAATAATGCCCTAAAACGACTCTACTACTCTAGCTTTGTATAAATCTCATGTGGACTAAAGGAAAAACACATTTTGTAATATAAATGAAATTGAAAGGAATTATAGGAAATTATTGGGCGAGTCCATATTCTGAATATTTAATTCATACTGCAAAAGCAGTTTTTTCCAAATATAATGATAAGCTATAAGACAAGTTTGAATGAATTTAGACATGAATAACAACTCTTATAACAATGCAGAATAATTATAGCATTTAATCTGCTTTTTAGTTTTAGAAAAGTAATAGCAGTAATACATCTCTAGTCTGCAAAATAATAGGTACAACATCCAAAGGGTACTACAGGGTCACAGTTGATAATGTAATCAACAAAAAAGAAAGAAAGAAACAAAGAAAAAGAACAGAAATATTTTGTTTTCTATTAAATTAAATGATACTCTCTAACAATTTCCATATTTTCCTCTCCCACATCTCCACCTCCACTTCCATTCCATCTCCACCTCCACCTCCACCCCACATACATCACATGCACTCCTACTGGACACAGGTTTGAGCTCAGAGCCTGAAACACTTAGTTCCAAATAGGTGAATTTAACACAAGATATATTAGTAACTATACTTAGTGGTAAAATGCATTGTCCAAATATATTTCTTTTAAAATAGTAAATATGAATAGCATATCTTAAACAAATACATTGCACTAAGTATATAGTGATTACAGTACTAATTAATCTGTGAAGGAGCAATATTTTGTGCCTGACTGCACTACATATTTTATATTCAATATGATGCTTCTCTAAATTCATTTCGAATGTTTAGTCAAGTTTAAACAAAAAGAAAGAATTTAATTAAGTCAACCAATTAAGCTAATTAAGTCAGCTAGTCAGCCTAAAAGTTTATAGACTGAAATTTCAAATTAATTCTTGGAATAAATAGATAGTATTTACCTATTTAGTCAATTATTTTGGTTATACTTTTCATTTAAAATGGATCATTTCATGAGAATATGAACTTGAAAGAATATGACAATGTCTAAAATATATTTATGTATACCAAATAGTATGTTAATCAACATTTTGATGTACATTATATGCAAAGATAAAACTATATGATAAATAATAACTCCTTAATGTATAAGTTTAAAGGTACCATATTTATAAAACATTTTTCTTTAAATTTTTCAGGTAATAAAATTAATATTACCTGTTTTGGTTATATTGAAGCCTGCCTCTGTTGATTAGGAGCTTGGCTAGGGGCAAGGGACTCATTAAATTAATAAAGTGCTACAACCTACATCCCAAGCCTGATACACAGCCATTTGGAGACTTCAAAGTGATACATTTCAGACTACTTGGTACTCTCCTAAATAACTATTAAGTACCTTTGTAATAGAAAATAATTATTTTTATAAAACCTCCTATAGAACCCTGATAGATATCAGTAAATTGATTGATATGCAGATATAAATATTTTTCAGAAATACTATAGAAAGTACATAAATGCAGATATAAATATTTTTCAGAAATACTATAGAAAGTACCTAACTCATTATTCATCAATGTAATATTTTAGAGATAATATATTATGTCATAATAAGTTGCAGACATTTATTAAGCAAAGTCATTCATCCTTCTCTCATTTAACATGTATTTTTAAAATTTTATTATTTGGGGGCTCATCACACTGTGTTGGACTTGAAGCTTTATATTAAGCCAGTATAAAAGAGGAGGTTATCACATAAGCACTTTGTTGTGAAGAGCATGAAAGAATTCCATACTGCAATATTGGGATACAGATGATGTCTGCAGTCATTATTTCAAAGAGTCACATTGACATTGAGGGATGTTAAAAGGACCAGGCGGTGGAGCCAAGACAGACCTGGGAACATGCCTGCCTCCCTGCTTCTGTAGATCATTCAGATTGGCAGACTTGAATTGCATATGTTGAGCTCTGTGAAAAATAAGGATGTGTGTGTCAAAAATCCCCCTAATAAATACAGAAAGTGAAAGGCTGAAAGTGCAAGTCTTTTTTGTTTTTGTTTTTTGGTAAAAGAAAGATGAATGTGGAATAAAATTGGCAAACTATGATGCTGATACTCAGGATGATTTGAATCTTCACAGTTTTAACATATAATAGTTTCTGTGTCAGATAGGAGCTCAGAGTTACCTTGACTACAAGTCCAATCACAGATAGGAAGGAATAAAGCAAGACTCCTTTCTTTATGGTCAGCTCATTCTGTGAAATTTTTCTTTGAAATCAAAGATTCCTAGCTTATTTGAGTAACTCAATTTTGTATCAATGTATCAATATCTCAAATGAACTATATTGATGAACTGATTAGGATCTCTCACCAAATCAAAAATGTTTAGCAATGAACATATTTATGTCTGTATAGTTAACACATAATATGTAAGTGTAATTGAATTAGTCTATTGTCTGTATGTATATGTGTGGATGCAAGCATTTACATATCTGTATACTTTCACATATATATGTATAATTTTTTCTCAAAAAATGATTTAATAAGTGGCAAGATAATTCACTTTTCAGGAAGTAACTTGGAGCATTAGCTTATATTTTTATTTTTTGTTTTCTCAAATTCACTAATGAAAATAATAAAGTTTGATGATCAGTCATAGAGGACAAATTGTTATGTTATTTAAAAAGTTACAGCTTTCTTTTTGGGGTAGTTAACTGCATTTTTCAAACATGTAATCTTGTGTCTTGATATTCATTATTTCTAAAATAGTAATTACTGTCTTTGTCTCCAATATTACTTTTTAAATTATTCCAAATTTATGCCACTTTTTATGTCATATTCTACCTTATTATCACCCTCTATAATTTTCTTTAAAAAAAAAAACCTGGTGTTCACTGATTTGATAATGATTGCAGTGAATAAATGACTTAGTAAATTATTTCCCTGATCATTACTTTGGCTGATAATTTCACTTAGCACACATTTTACAGTTTAGTTCTTTGTTCTCTAATTGATTACCTTTTACTTATTTGAAATGAACTCTTTCAGTACAATTTCTTTTAAGATGCATACTAAAAACAAGTCCTCCAAATAGACATGTAACAAGTTTAGAAACACTAAAATTATATGTTGGGAATATATATTAAGATAGTCTATTTAGTTATTTAAAAATCTATGATATTAGTTGCTTTGAAAATTTCTAACAGATGTTTTCTGAAAATTTAAATGTATATTTGGATGGATGGATTAAAATAATATAATTAGATTTAATATATGTTTGTCTATATATAAAGCCTGTTAAATTCCTACATATACATCTGTATGCATATCTATGGCATTTGGATAGTTCTATGTAACTAGACTACATGCACACACCTAGGTCTATTGTGTGATGCTTGTTATCCAAAAGTAGATGTTTTACATGCATCTACAAAGTATTAAAGAACCACTTTTGGTTGGTAATTTCTAACCAGTGCTAGGATTATACATACTCCTACATAGTTAAGAGTTAAATCATAAGTATCATAGTGCAATTTTTTGTATTTTATGAAAACATAATAGTTCACAGAATAAATTTATAAAACAGAAGACACTCTGGCCCAGTTGGCCAACAACATTTAGACCAGCAATTAAATTTTTTAATTTTCTTTTGTTCTGTTGTTTTAACAATAGGGAAAGAGCTCTGAATACTGGTTGTATTACCTGTGCTGCTGTGGGTGTGTGTACCATCCCTGTGATAGCATGAGCACTGCTGTTTCTAAACAGAGAAGCTATATGAAGATTTGTCCATGGATTAGTTACAAGTTTCAAGTATTCACATATGAATTTACTAAAATTTTTCCTGTCATTAATTTGTTTTTAAATGATTGTTTTTTGCTTTTCCTCTGTGCAAGAGGATGCCGTTTCTAAGCAAGAGCCACATTTTGAATTCCTTTTTCTCCTTGGTCTCCTGTATACTTCCTCCTTTTGAACAGGGAGGGGAAGGATAGTATAGGGGGAACCTCCAGGTTATTATTTTGGCACCAGACATTCCTTTTATAGCACATAATTTTCTGACCCACTCTAAAACTGTTAAAATGTGAGTCTTAGGAATGGTGTTTTGACACCAGGAAGATATGTGTAATGAACATGTGTTTGTTTGGGGTTGCACTTCATTATTTGCTTATATTTCATGGGAGAGGCAATTACAGTGACAGGTATCAGATTCAGAGAGTGAGAAGCCAAATGATTTCTAAAGCATAAACAGAGCTTCTCATGACAGGGGCTCTTTCCTGAGGTCTCTTGGGGGCTCTACATTTTCGAAGCTTAGAGAAATCAAATCCTTGCTTGGAAAAGACTTTTTTTTTTTCTTTCTCTTGCTGATGTCATTACTGTTGCTATGGAGAAGTGAGTGCTGCATGACATTGTTGGAAAAGTCAACACTGATGTATTTCTGTAGAGCAAATAATCCACCTCATAGCTTGTTTTTTATTTGTATAAGCTTGCTAAAAGCTGTCAGAACTAATAGCAAACAGGAAATATTCCTTTGCTCTGTAAAAGTGTTCTAAAGGTATACTGAGCCATTTCTTCTTAATAACAGTAAAGAGACTAAAATACGAAGTAGCCCATGTGAACTGAAGAAGAGAACATGCTTTGTAAGCTGTGAGTTATTATTTGTACCACTTGGAATTTTTTTCTTGGAAACATCCACACCATTTTGAAATCTATTTTTAACACTGAATCATTCCACTCTGTAGCATTACCCCAGTCAGGTCTGAGAGAAAAGATTAGTGTTGCTTTCATTCTGAATCATTTCTGAGGTGTTCTCTTCTTCCCTGTGGTAGCATTCTAGTTGTGACATCATATATCATGACATCTTAGTGTGTGGTACATGATTCTCAGTTCATCTCACCATTAAAAAGGAGGCACTTAACCAAAAATATGGTTCAAAACTCTTGGTCTTAAGTAGAAAAGCCATTTGTAAAAGACTTATAAGTAATATATTTCTGTTGACATATTTTAAATGTTACCATTAAGTAAATATGTGATTGTTTTTTGTTGTTTTTTTTTTAAAGAGAGAGAATTTTAACATTTATTTCTTAGTTTTCGGCAGGCACAACATCTTTGTTTCTTATGTGGTGCTGAGGATAGACAGGCCGCATGTATGCCAGGCAAGCGCACTACCGCTTGAGCCACATCCCCAGCCCCTAAATATGTGATTGTTTAAGAGAAAAGGAACTGCCCAGTCTAAGCGTTATATCAAACAGAAAAGAACTGAAAAATAAAAGGATTTAGAAGAGAAAAGAAAATATATCTCAACTACTGAAAAATCATTTCCATCTGTGTTGTTGGCTAATATCCCTGTTTATATACAGACTGATTCTACATTGTTAGGTGAAAATATGCCTTTGACACTGTGCTTCTGATGTTGAAAACTAATGGGTTAGGCTGGGGATGTGGCTCAAGCGGTAGCGTGCTCCCCTGGCATACATGCGGCCCGGGTTCGATCCTCAGCACCACATACAAACAAAGATGTTGTGTCCGCCGAAAACTAAAAAATAAATTTTAAAATTCTTTCTCTCTCTCTCCTTTCCCTCTCTCTCCTCTCTTTAAAAAAAAAAAAAAGAAAGAAAGAAAAAAGAAAACTAATGGGTTTTAATGAAAACTACAAAACAAACTCACAATATCCCCACCATTAATCCATTGTTGGCAGGTTTACCGGTTGCATTTTTCTTGCATTAAGAATGCATTTTATGTAAATGGCTGATTTGTTGTATCTACTTTTTTTTTTTGCCTACAGTGGCACATCTAGTGATGAAATGTGTAACTTATACATTATGTATTACATGGAAGCCAAGCATGCAGTTTCTTTCATGACTTGTACACAGAATGTAGCTCAAGATATATTCAGAACTATACCATCAGAGGCCAATATTCCAATTCCTGTGAAGTCCGACATGGTGATGATGCATGGGCATCACAAAGGTGAGATTGGTGCTTAACATAAAGAAGCATATGCTTTTGTATATTATATTCTCATATGTGTCTTACTTGACTGTATGATTAGTATTTAAAATCATCTTTATTCCCTTCTTCAATCAACTTGTATATATGTATTCTTATTTCCTCTTTCATATGTGCCTCCCCTTTCTGGCATGTCCCCATCAAAACAGTTAAAAAGATAAATCTCAGCCAGTAATGAAACAAATTAGTTTTGGTGGCTAATCCCATAAATGTAGACCCTTCTTCATTTTAATTCATGTTTTCTAGTTTCTTCATCCCATTCCTCCAATAGTCAGTAATGTCATAGACAATTTATGAATTTATAAATTGCAACAAAAAGTGCTACAGTTGGCCAGTGAAAATGGTTATCATGTCCAGTAATACCTTAAATTATCTATTTAATTGACCTCCTCAAGCAAAGATCCCATCTTGATATTAATAATCTTAGCTCTTTTGGTCTCATTCTTAGAATTGTTTGTAACTTACTGTTTGTCTGCAAAATGTCATATTGACTGTCATCCCTTTAGTTTAAAGTTGCAAAACCCACACTTTCTTTTATTACATGAAATATGCTGATGTTATTGAGTTTTGAAGATTCAATCTTAAAATGCCAGAGCAGCTCCTTATTTCTTTCTAGTGGATATTTTATGAATGAAAATGGCATAGCAATGAGTATTAAGATGCTAATATATTTATAGAAAATATCTTAAAATCTCTTAACATATTCTTAGAATGTTAGTAGAGTCAATTTAAAAAAAAACAAACATGAGTAGTTTTGTTAAAACATTTTAAAAATTTAGTATCATTTATATATCACTGAAAAAATAGTTGACCTAGTTATTATGTCAGAAGTCTGGTAATTGGTAGTTATGCTAGGGTGGAGAAGATTGTGAATTAGAGCGTTTCTTCTATATAAATTCTTAATAATATAATAAACACAAGGTCTTGAATGATATTTTTATGTTAATGGGATAATTCCAATGAACTATTCAAAGTGCATAATATATGCTGCCAATTTATGCTCAACTTCTTTGATCCTTTATAGAAACAGAGAATAAAGATAAGACTGCTTTACTACCACAGCCAAAACGGGAAGAAGAAGAAGTGTTAGACCAGGGTATGTATACTTATTTCTGTAACCAGACCTATAGAAGTATTCCTTGTTCAAATAGCCAACCAAATTGTAAAGTCATGAGATATTTAGGTCGATTTGTATCAGCCTCAAATGCTATTATTGCTGTTCTTATATAATGCATAATTCATAAGGAAATGGTCAATTATTGCACTTGGCCTTGGAAGTAGAATTCATTAGTGTAATTTAGTTACTTTAGGTTTACTATTGGAACTTTTATGAATAGTACAAATAAGTGCAAATATAATCATGAAAAACAATGATTGCACTGCTTTTGAAATTTAATGACCTCTGCCAATTAAGTTCTTGCATATCTTGTATAGTATGTTTGCTAACTATATTTGAGTTTCAAGAAAAAGAAATTAAGAACTAACCTGCATCTTGTCTCTATAAGGCACTCTTCTTTGCCTTCAGCAAGGTAGGAGGGATCATTGTCTTCTGCATTTATAGTTCTGTGTTAAGGTGTCATTTAATGAGTCAGGAAAGCCCCCATTCAGCCTCTCTTCTGTTTAGTTAAAGGGGGAATGTTTGATGCCCATGTGTCAGATATTGCATGTGCTAATAATGAACAATTACTCTCATGATCTTAGTTTCTTGCCAGTTGTTTGGAAGATAGTGCTTTATGTTAGGATGTTGGAGTACATCATCCTATCAAGTGATTTTTGGCCTAAATGTTAGTTTGATGTTAGTACAAATACACGTCTACTGACAACATAAAGCATACAAGAGAGAATTTTTTATTAGCAACATATAGTATTTTCCTATTTCTTAGACATTGTCAACTGCTATTGGAATTCTTCCAAATATATTATATTAGGTCAAAGATAACACCTGTGCTGTAATTATTTTTGTAAAATGAAGAATCTGTTTTTGAAAGGGGGAAATGCACTCTTCAGGACCATAAGTAAACTCCAGTCTAAAGGCTTTTAAATTGTATAGAATATGTTCTATCTTATTCTAACAAAGTAACCTTTAAAAAAAAATACAGATTAGTTTAAAGTCATTTCTGTTTGTGTGTTAAGTCAAAACTTGGGAGATGATTTTATAGTAATGGCTGTTAAGTACAATTTAAAATAGCTAATTGTATTCAATGTATTTAGATATCTGTAAGGATGTCAGTAATAGCAACCTAAGTATACTAGTATTAACAGTGTTTACTGCAATTGCACTGAAGCTTATTCAGAACTAGAATGAATTATTTTAACCTTGCTCAAATTGTTTGAAATCTGTCTTTAAAATAATTTGAATGATCTTAAAATTCATTTGCAATTACCAACATATATGACATAATATAGAAGGAGATAACCATTTAATTGATGCACCTTGTAAAATGGTGCATTTCTATGGAAACTGAGGTTGGACTATGGTTTAATTTTAAAGTTAGCTGAGTTGATCAAGGGAGACATTGATACCTCTGGAAGGTTAGAAACCCAGAGGATTGTGAGCAAAGCAATCTTAAATGTTAGATTCAATCTTTTCTTTTCCAACAGTAGGATTTAGGAAATGTCATATATGCCTACAAACCAAATTTTTAAAACACTTTCATATTTTTCCATACATTTACACTTTTATGTTTTATAGTGCAGGGAGAGGTTTAAATATACCCAAACTCTTATTTGTTCCTGAGAAGAATTATATGGTCATATATTAAATAATTGCCTATAGTTTCTCTTTTCTTCTACTTATGAATAAAAATTCTGTAAATAAAGCATTATGACTTAAAAAGGAAAAAAGTATTATTCTGACTCGAATTTTCATACTGTAGAAAAAAAGCTATTGAAATTAGCAGGTCCATTGAACAGTCACCTCCTGAGTTATGTGAAGACAGTATCTCACTAAAGCCATTTTGGTGACCAGTGTGGTCTGTGTATTAACCTGCTGGTCCCTGGGAACCAACAGCTGAGAATTTAAAGAGAAGTAGTGAAATATAGCCAATGCACATTTGGATAGCTAGTTCATTTGATGTGCTAATGAAATCAATCTATCTCCTTAAAACACACAGGACAAATCTACTTATTTGTACTAAAAGCCCATTCAGAGTATTTATTTGCATGAGCATCTATTTAAATTAATTCCTGTGGATGTCAAATTGACCAAATAGCTGATAAAAGGACTCTAATTATTCAAATAAATTATTCGATGTGTGTTAATTTTTAAAGTAAACCCTCAGTGTTAATCCACTACCTTATTTTGATGCGCAGCTCAAACAATTTGTGTTCAAGCATTCCTCCAGATTGTATTCATTCTTTTAATATATTTTAACATTGATACATCAAAGTTCTCAATACTTCAGTTGTATTTCTATTTACTGACAAACAGACATCATCTATGTTGGTCCCACAAAACATGTCAGACTCTGATAGGAAACAGAACAATTCTGAAGGAGGGAGAAAGAGACTTAAAACATAAGAGGACATGAACTCAAAACCAAGCTCTGTACCCAGGAAGCAGTTTGCTTGCAAATGATATAAATAGCTCTACCTAGATAATATGAACTATATATGTGGATTTTATGTATATATAAAAGCTTTCTATATCAATACATTAGAAAGTCTGTAAGAAGATAAAGGTCAAGATGATGTGATAAATACTATGTAAGAAAGAAGAGATGACCTTTACTAAGATTGTGAAAAATGGGTTGGGGGGAAGATCTTATTTTATAAACTGGAATAAAGAAATGTAGCTGTGCACAATATGTGCATCTATAGAAATGTCACAGTAAAACTCATTAATTTATACAATTAGTATGATTGAATAATTTTAATAAAAAAGAATGTAGTTATGCACATATGAACAGGAAGTTGTGGGTATGTCCAACATACACACACAAAAAAAATCCAAAGAAACCAAATAATCTTTTTAACATAGCTTTATCTTATTATCCTTGTTTATCTTATTTCTCTAGGAAAAAACCTAAATGTTTTATTTTCTTTGAAATTCTTGTCACTAAAATCCTAGCTATAAAAGTTTTGCCAGAGTCTTCATCTTGATTGGAAATTAACTAGCATTTGAAAGAGTCATCTGAGTTGTATGAATTTATGTTGTATTCCCCCAGCCTCTGCTTATTCACAAACACATCAACTTTCAACAATATATTTGTCTACATCTGTTCTCCATAGAAGAAGGTTTGACATAAGGCAAGTGTATCTTAGATTCTATCTCAAGAGATGTAATTACTAAGACACCAAAGAAGCATCATTATAGGAGAGTTTTACCATTCAGGTTGTCCTGGACCATGAAACAATTGGAAGAATTTTAATGAGGCTTTAAGTGAGTCTAAGGAGATTTTTTTTTAAAAAAATAATGTTTATTTTGACCAATTAAAAAATTAATATTCATTATAGAAGATAATTATATATAAAGTATGAATAAACAAGTAAAATTGATAGTACCCAGATATGTAAGTGAAAATGTATACCTGTATTTGAAATACATATTAATCACATATACACATAATTTTAACAGTATTTTAGATTATAATATGTATACAATTTTTTTTCCTTTTAAAAAAATATAATATCTTAGCCAGGGGCAATGGCTCACACCAAATTTCCATCAACTCAGAAGGCTGAGGCAGAAGGATCACAAGTTAGAGGCCAGCCTCAGCCACTTGGTGAGAACATCAGCAAGTTAATGTGACCCTGTCTCACAATTTAAAAAACAAACTGCAAAGGACTGAGGATGTAACTTAGAGGTAAAGCACCCGTAGGTTCAAACCCCAGTACCAAAAAGCAAAAAACAAAACAAAAAAAAACTTTTTTTAAAAAAAATTATATCTTGAATATTTTCTCCAGTGGTAGAAATTATTGACAGAGATGATTTTTAGTTGCTTCATAATTTGTGAATATTTCTACCAGTGTTAAAACAGCCAATTTATATAAACTTGAGTTTCTCTGTGAACAAATAGATTATGTCTACTTTCATGTAGAAAAGCATGAATGGACATTCAAAACAAATGTCAGTATCTTTTAAGAACATTATAAGTGGAGAATTACCTGTGTAAGTAATAAGTGCAATAAATTAAACAGTAAACCCAATTGGACAGTGATTCTGGGTGGAGGAAATCCTAGGTAGGTGAATCCCAGGAAGTTATGTGGAAAGCAGAGGTAGTGCAGGTCTCTAGAGCAGACAAGACACACACAATGATATCACTCACTTATGTCTTACGGTTGTCACTTTTAGGTAACAAATGCACGCTTTGTAAATTATCTTTATTTTGTATGCTTTATGATATATGTTTACTGTAACCATAGGTTCATCCAGAGCTTGCTACCAACATTGTTTAGGCAAAGAATAGTGAAACTAAGAAGGTTGGCAGCTGCAAGCAAGAATCTATATAAACTACATCTAGAAGTTTTGAATCTTAGTATTTTGCTTCTTTAAAGTTCAGAATATAAATGTAGTGGTCAAGTTTGTGTCCGTTGTATTGGGGATATTCAATATTTTTAAGAACTCAAAACAGAACTGAAAGGCAATGTCTGTAATACCAATGTGTCCTTGTTATTGTGCATTATGTTCTGTACAACATTTTTTTTTTTCTGCAGAAAGGGCCTTTAGCATGTTTTATTCAGTTTGCTCCAAACTCTTCTCATTGTAGTCTTTGTGCCCTCACATAATCAATCTTTCCACTCAAAGGTCAGCATGAGCTACTATATTCCCAAGGCAGGGAGAATATGACAAAAATACAATTTGTAGAGGGAAAACACTCCATGACCCCAGATAGTTAAAGGTCTTCAGACACCTTCTGTGAAACAGAATAATTTCACAGTGGTTTTATGCTAACAAAAATGAATTTCCATTGGCATGTTTTATCAAATAAGCAGAATCAAGGGAACAGGGTTGCAAGTTAAAAACACAACAGCATACTGTAAAGGCTTTCTGAAGTAACTATTGGTAAACATTTTCTGGATGAGTAAAACAAAGGTGAGTCTTGGTAGATAAGATTATATTTCTTTGCCTTGTTCAGAATGGGACATTCCTTCTGA